CTTCCAAACCCAGGTGTTTTCACTTGACGGCCAGGGCCACTAGCAGTGAGCTCCCACCCCCCATGGCTCACGACTGCCCACGAAGGCTGTTTGCCTTTTTGGTTTTGGCACCAGCTTGCAGGTATTTAACAAGTCAGCTTTCCCTCAGAAGGGCTCAGCTCCTACAGCCTTTGCCCCCAGCATGAGAACTGATCACTAGTTCTCAGCAAGAGCTGGCACAACTTCTTGGCTTGTTCAGGATCCTACAAATAGCTGCCGAGCGATTGTGGATAAAGAAAGAGAATAGCAGTCCGGAGCCATTCCCTCCCAGTGTCATAGCAAAGGGCACTGGGAAAAATCCCAGTGTCATCAGCCAAGAGATTTCTTTTGTGTCCAAAAAGAGAAACGTTAATCTCTGTAACAGCAGAAAATTAATCTCTCTGTGTGGCAAGGTTTTACTATCACTCACAGTTGCTACTTGCTCAAAAATCTAAAAAACACCTGAAAAAATGAGTTGCAAAAAGTCCAAGACTTTCAGAATATAAATTGCTAAAACACTTATAAAGGAATAAAAGGCACTTTCCAGAGCTACAAATGGTTATAGTCAACCAAATTGCAGATTAAATGTTAATATCATGGGGGAGAGAGGGAAAAAAGCTTAAAATAAGTGAGAAGAAGCTGGTGTTGGCACTCAGTGTATGGCATCAAAGGCTCAGGGGTCTGTCCTGGGCTTTGCCACAGACCCACGCTAGTCCTTAATTTGGTTGTTTCACCTCGTTTTTCTCCAAGATGCGAAGAAAAAAATCCTACCTACCCTATTTAGTAATTGCTTGGAAGCCAGCAGCACAGATGTCATGTGCACAGCTATGAAATATCTTCAATTCAGCAGCAGCAAAGGCTATATGCAGGGAAGGGCTAAGCAAAGGGACCTTTTATATGGTGTGACATGGAAACTGATCCTCACTCCCTTCCCTGATACAGAGCAGGGTAGCACCCTGCCTGGGTTATCTGAGGATCTGGGCTAGCTGTGTGCTTGTTGTCAAGAAGTAATCTTTTTGAAGGGTGCAACTTACCTGAGAGGTGGGAAGAGGATGCTATTTATTATTGAAAAGACATGGAAATGTGAGTACAGCAAAGCTGTATTTGAAGTCTAGTTTCATCAGCACTCTGCAGACAGGACCTTCCTGTGACATGATATGAAACAGTCCTGCATACTTCTTAGAATAGCTTTTTTTTTTATGCTATGTGAGTTGGATTGCTAATTTTTTCTGTCTTCAGTTCCTATCTCTGCAGGTCTCTGCTGGATTCTCAGCCTTACAAGCAGGGCATGGCTGTCAGATAAAGAAAGCTGTGAAAGAGACCCAAAACCCACAGCCTGGAGGGTCCCCAGCTGGACCAGAAAATGGGCTGAACTGGTGGCCGGCTGGTCAAGAGGGTTTCCTCTCTTTCCTTGCCCCACAGCCCATGCCTGCCTTGCCATGCCGCTCCTTCTAGGCACACCACTAAACATTTCAGCCGTAGTTGTTTCCTTCCCCTTTCCCCAGCGTATTGGGGTTGTTCAGGTTTTTGAGGTTTGCTTGTTATTTATGCTGAGCAGATCTGATGCTGAGGGGAAAGCCATCTTCCTACAAATTCCTACTCAGATTTCTAACTGTTGAATCTTTCTGCATTATTTATTTCTTCCTTGAGGTGTTCACAACTCCTAGTGTACTGTCAACTCCACCTCTGATTAACAAGTTCCCTAATAGGGCAGGAAATACAAGTGAAATGAGCACAGGATTTGGGAAGCCCAGAGTAAACACCTTCTTCAGGTTTGCCATGTTGTTTATTTTTTACACGTCTTTTTTTCCTCTACTTAAGTCCTTGATTCAATCTTCAGCTCTCATGACAGTTTTTTCCATCCCAGATGGATATTCATTTTTCACACAAGATTTTGTGACACACAATATCAAACACCTTACTGAAAGCTCAGAACTGTTTAATCGATTGCATTCCCATCATCTATTAATTCAGTAATTCTATCCCCAAAAAAATCTAGCTTGAGTGGTACAGTTTGGTCTTTATACAGGTGCACAGATTATTGCTCAGGGTTTTGCATCTCCCAGACATTTATGGAGTTCTTTTCCCCTCACTATTCCATTATTAACTACAATTTGATTTTAGACTCACCAAAAGGTGTATTCTGACAGCTGTGGTGGGTAGCAAGGGTTTACAATACTGTTACAATCTTTTTACTGCAACACAGTGGGAATTAGTAGACTTCAGATTTCAAGGCAGGTGCTGTCCTGTAGAACATGGGAAATCTGATGGTTTTAGTCCTATCGTTGCAAGAATCCTTATCATTGTTGTCTCTCCCAAAGGTTTTGTACCTAAATCCCCTTGAATTTTCTGCCATCTCCTGCTATCCCAGAATACTTTCCACAAAGCACTGCAGAGATTTTGCTTTTAACCCACTAGAGTAATACTTAATATTCCCCATGGTAAAGCCTTTTTGTATTTCGAACAAACTACTAGCAGAGAGTGTTTTTTAATAAGAATATTTTTAAGAAGTATTTCTTTTTTCCCTTCACTGAGAACTGGAGTGTACCAAGACAGGATAAATGTGAAAACTTGCAAACATATTTGATATTCTTACACATGTTGGTCAAGCAACTTCTTCAGTTTTATCTTCTAGGTGAGTAAAGTACCATAAAGACTGATGATGCAATTAAGCAATGAATTACTAGTAAATTTTAGTTTTCAGTTTATCAAACTGCAATATTTGGAATCTTTTGTGGTCCTCGGCCCTTTATTTCTCAGCCAGGGCATTAAGCAGCTGGGATATTTCACATCCAAGCTTTAAATTGTGTTCACCTGGTGTGATTGTGTGTACTGTCATTCATTGCTGATCACTGAGCAACTAAAACCTGCAGTAGCTAGTTGCTGAGCATGGATAATAGGTTGCTCTTTTCTGGAGCTCATAGAGAAGCTGCAACATGGGATTAATAATTTTCAAGCTCAGTTACTCCAGTGGCAGGTTTGAAATAGTTGTTGAGGTGGTTGCTGTTTAGATTCCCGTTAAAGAGCAAGAGTTGATTGCAGCATTTGCATATGGAAAAAAATTAGCCTGGGACTCTAATCTTGCTTTAGAACCCTGCTGGGTGAGGGATTAGAAAATTGAGGGATTGTGTGGAATTTTCTTTTCTTTTGCTGATATGAAGACTAGGACAGCTTGGCACCATGTGTCTGGTTTACCCAGCAGGTAAAGAAAGAGGGTCTGACTATTAATTGCTTTTTACAAAACTCAGTCTGAGGACAGGACAGATTTCAGGGGCTTGTGGTTGTTGCTCTTCTTCTTGAAAAGCAGGTGGAAAAGAGGTCCTACACCTTGCTTGTAGTCACTCTTCTAGATTATTTGTGAACAAGCTTGTTTGAGCCGTAGATCGGAACTCACTTCTACGGAGATACTCCTCTGTGTCCAGAAGCAGGAGGCACAGGCACATTCAGTGTGGATTTATCAGCTCAGATCAGCGTTAGCTTGGGGATAGCCATGCTCCAGTCTCAGATATTTTACTGGCCTTATTTTCCCCCCCCCCCTTTTTTTTTTTTTTTTACTGAATGTTTTGATTGTCACATGTTTTAACTTAGCTGCACCTTTGCTTTATATGGACTACCTTAACTCTCTGTTAATGCAGAGAGTCAAGGATGTCTTGCGTGTTGCTTGGACGGGACAGAGAAGGCTGAAAACAAGTGGTCTCTAACACTACCTTTGCTGCCTGCCCCTGAAGCTGTTTCCTAGTGGTTCTCTGGGCATCGGTCAGCTCAAAGAGCACCTCAGGCACAGTGACCAGAGACTGACACAGTTGGAGGAGTAGAGAGGAGGGAGAGGAGAATCAAATGCATCTACTTCTCAACTCTTACTGTTATAATAACTAGAGACAGCTGAGCGAAAGGGTGGAAACTGCACTTGAAAAGATCTGTTAACATTTTGTTTCCAAAGTAAATCTTCCTCTACATGTTATTGCGACAAGACTGGAGATGGGTCATAGGTGCCGCAGAGTTTGCAGTCACAAATCACATTCATGCTGAACGATCATTTTGATTTCTGTATGCTGTCTCCTTGTCATACAGAGACACTATCAACACCTAACCTCCCCAGTCTTCAGTAGGAAACTGTGTTTTTTTTTTTTTTAAGTGTAAATAGCAAAATGGGCTATGCACACTATTTCTGAAATCTGAGGTCAGTTAGACCACGGAACAGGTTGATGCCTGGCCTGATGTTTGCTATGGCTTTCTGTATTAAAGCCCTGGTGGGAAAGAGATGGAGAGCCCCTTTCCTGGGAGTAAGCCATCACAAACACACACACTTCTTCCTGTCAGACAGCTTCTCCAAACTTGCTTTCTGAGGCTTTCTGCTCTGCTTAATTACACAGTCAGAATTACACACTACATAAGGAGGCACTGTCTAATCCCTCTGCTTTCCCTGCACCTTCCCGTTTAGGTTAAAACATGCTTGAAAGGGCAACAGAAGCATCCTCCTGAGCCTTGTGAGAGTCCCCTCAGTGATGAAGAACGTTTCTAGGCTAGGCTGAACTTTTTTATTATTCTCCCTGGCCCTGTTTCCCAGGCCATTGCCTTCACTGGGCTTTGAGCCCAGGACAGAGTTTTTCTCATGGAGGTGTGGACAGCAATGCCTGGATTTTCCCTTTTTTATGTCAGAACAGCTCAGGGCTTGAAATGATTAAAGGTGATTAGGCTGACCACTAAGGCACTTATAGCAAGCTTGCCAACTGGATCCCATCTGATTTTTGCGGAAAAAAAAAACAAACTACCACTTCAGTGACTTAGAACGAGGTGCTGATTTATATTTATGTTAGTAGAAAATTTTAAGCCTTTATGAAGGGGATAAAGTTCTACTGAGACTGAGTGACAGATCCTAACATAAGAAGCTTTAGCACTATATTCCTTTATAAGAATGTATTTGCATTCACTGTAATGTGTAACAATTCCAAAAAAAAATCTTTTTTTTTAAAGTGCTTTTATTGAAATAGAAGGAACAAGTTAACAGAAGCCTGTGTTCAGAAATCCAGTATTCGCAACACTGTATGCAAATAGCTATCCTTCAAGGTGATTGCCTAGTCAGTCGTTCTCCAAGGGTGGTGTGAGAGCAGTGATTTTCTTGTTAAACAGCAAGACACCAAACCTTCAAAAAGCAGAAGAAGTGGGGTTAAGTCCTCATTTCACCATGGTATAGCTGATACAATGCATTGACCTCAGCGACAGCTCAACCTAATTCAGGTTTAAACAGGTCTGCTAGCATTAACAACTGTTTCCCTTGCAGTTATCCTCCTCTCCAAGCTCGCACTGTGCTGCCTGCTCCAGTTCTGGCCTACGTTTCCTCCTGCTTTTATAGTAACTGTGCTATAGTTTATGACTGAATAAATACAAGGGACAAGTATGAAAGGCCAAAAATCCTTCATCCAGCTCTTCAGAGGTACGGAGCTAATGTACTAACCAGCATCACCATGGAGTAGCGTCATCTTGAGAAAAAAGAACAGAAAATAGCAGGAAAGCAACATTTTGAAAAATGACCCATAACTTCAAAAGAGCATTTATCTCCCCACTGGTAAATGTACTGGGGTTAGAGAAAACTGAGGATGTTTAATGATTCAGTGAGAGCTTTTCAAAGGCAACAATAGGAATAATTGCCTCCGTGACATTCTTATTTGTTGTTGCTGTTGTTTATTGAATGTCTGTATTTGAAAACTTCCTGTGCAGTACTTAGAGGGGATGGGGACAGGTACTACAGGAAAACTTTAAATAGGTATTTTAGCTACAATGACAGGAAAAACAAAAGCTGATCGCAGAAAAACAGCTACATCTTTTTTTTTTTTTGGTCTTAGATGCTGAGCTATGTCTCCAAGCTACATGTATCCAGAAGTTGACCAGAGGATGACATTTCTGTTTTGTGGCAGTTCTTCAGGTTGTGACATTTATTGTTGCTGCTGTTGTTATTTTGTACCAGGATAAAAACCAACCTTTTCAGTTCTTTGCATGAAAATGGAACAGTGTTGAAATGCCTGTTTCTAGAATCCAGGTTTCTGATTTGGCGCGTGTGCGATTCCTGGCAGTTACAGCGCTGTCCTGGGACATGGGCTCTCCTTCTCCCTTTTCAAACCTTCGCAGAAAAGGCCTCCCTGAAAACTGATACCTTTCTGCAAAACATCCGACTGGTGAAGCAGCCTACTTCCCGTAAGATAAATGAATAGCGTGTTCCGACCAGCTCTAATGTGCAGGATATGGGTGAGTGGCTTGAAATTGGTATAAGAAAGGGAACAAATGAAAAGGACTGAGGGATAGGAAAAATCCCCTTTTACAGCAAATTTCTTGTCACAACAATAGAGATGGATTTCTCTAAGAGTAGTGATACCCCTTCTAGTCCCAATGGTAGCACTTTCAAAGAAGGTGCTGCCACTGCAGTCTCTGATTCACTGGAAACAGAATGAAAATGACACCATGCATATTTAAAATTTGCATCCCAATTTTTTTTTTCTCTGCATATTTACTTTCTTGATTGGCATTAGCATGAGGTCTGGTACCAGATGAAAGCACAGACTAAGTTCATCAAAGATAACAAGTAATTCTGAGTAATGACTGAATGGCATTCCCAGGTATCTACTTTTAAAAAACGAAATGAATAGTCCTAGTTGCAATTACCAACTACGGTTCCTTATACAAAGCTAGCATTTATGAATATCGAACTAGGCCCTTTTTAACTATCTTAGCTCTGTGTCAGTTTACTTTTTTAATGCAAACAAAATTTAGTCGTTATCACTAGAACTGTTTGTTAAAGCTGAGAGTGGATAAATGATTAATAGGGTTGTCATTTATTCATTACTGTTAAAATATATATATTTACTCATCACTTTCATGAATCTAGTTTCTTGTCTCAACTCAGCTTATTGACATCACAGATAAAGAGCTTTCTTACTGCAGTCCTGTTGGAGCTTAAAATCTTTACAATGGTCTATTGATGAATTAGTATTTTGAAAATCAAGACTGCTGAGGCTTAAAATTGTAGTGACAATTACATGGTGTTTTGTTGCTAAGCTAACAATTTGCATGGGATTGATGACAGCTTGACATTAAGCAAATAAAGTATTATTATTGTAATTTAGTACAGAATTTTGTAGAAAACAATCCCTTGGACCAATGCACAGACTTCTACTACACTACTATGGAATCTCTTTCATGCAAGAATTTAACCACTTATACACCATTAAACTTGGCAGTTGTAACTGTATCATGCAAACACAGAACCTCCAAGTCCTGTAGGCACTAAGGCATATGAGTAACTTCTTCCAGGGAATTAGGTCTGCTGCAGTTTATCTGCACGAAGGAACTCATGCACCTTCATATTTACAGGACTAACCCTAGAAGAGCTGCTATGAGTGTATTTTGTAGCATACAAGCCTGAAAGATATGCTTGCTAGATGAAGAGATTTTTCAGATTTTTTTTAACCTATTGATTGCTTCCTAAGCTAATGGTTACATCCGCAGTAGAAAACATCTCCAAGACATTGAATGTACTGACTATATTTTGACAGAGCATTGATTTTAAATAGAATACCCAAAAAACCTTGGCACAACAATGGAGAACGGGGCAAGACACTCTTCCTGACGCATCTAGCATCAGGTTTCAGGAATGGCTTTAACATGGTGTTCCAGCTAGGTCTAAACTGCTACCTATGCCTGTCTTTGTATCCACCAATAGGAAATCAATGGGTGGCACTCCTCAGTTATAAAAATGAAAAAAGAAGGGTTTCTGGTGCCCTGTCAGCTGCCTAGGACCATAAGCTTCCCACATGGAGGAAAAAAATGTTGTCTCTTCTGACACTAATAGCGGTGTGACATCCTCCTGGAGACTCCCAGATCTAAGAAAACCACATACACCCACATAACCTAGTATGGCATGGGGGACATACGGATTAATGAGACAGATCTCACAAGATGAAATACTACACTGGCTGACGCTTTGATACCTTAAGAATATTATTCACTACTGTCTAAGTCAAAAAGTAAGATTTTTTTTAGAAGGGAATATTTTTCTCAAAGAGGTGTCTACTCCTCCCATCCCACATTACCTTGGAAAGCAATGAGAGCATCTCCATAATTTTGTTCCCTGTTGTTCCATATTGTGGCCTTACATGTTGAGTCCACGTGAGTGTCATTTCTGTGTTCTGTACTGGCTGCTCTTTTGTGCTGTATCACTTAAGGCTTCAAAGTATCATTACTTGAGTCACAGACTGGAAATTTCACGGTAGAGTAGTGATAAATTTGAAACCCACTGATAACACCTGTTGGGTTTTATTTTCATTTATACTCAGTTCACTCAAACTGCTAACTTTTGAGTTCACTCAAACTGCTAACTTTTGAGCACACGCAGAGTATACTGTTACACTATTTACAAGGCACTGTTATTGTTTTCATTATTAACTATCAGTTTAATCACAACTCAATTTTTGAAAGACATTTTCCTACATTTAAATCTGCAAAGATTTGTGAGTTTTAACCTACAATAAGATCACGAGATTCCCACTGAGTTATATCTTTTCCCAGTTGTCTCCATGACACACCAACTGTAATGATAATGTGACAGTCCCGTGACAAAACATCACTTGCCAAAGAACAATACTGGCATGTTCCAACTGGTCAATCTACCTCTGTCATTCTAAGTTTCAACAATAAATTGTTAAATATAAATAAATAGGGTAGCATATGTAATTTATATGCAATTTATATTCAGCATGTTCTTTCTTGTTATCCTTTAGATATCAAAAACCCCTTTGTTCTTGTGAAGGTATTGCAGTATATGGAAAAATCCATATTAGGATATATCAAAGAGGGACAGGGGAGAGATTAAAAGGACTGTAGCTCCTCAAAGGCACTGCCCAGTGCAGCACACCTGCTCCAGGTCACAAGATGCTGCTGCAGCCACTGTGCTTCCACTGTTTCCACTGCAGCTACATCTGGGCCTGGAAGCCCTTGTGCAACTTGTGCCACATGTCATGTAAAAGATCCAGCTGGTTATAAAGTGCTCCATTGGGTTTTCTGCGGAACTGGGTGTATATTTTCTTTTGTCTTATCCCCATACTAGAGACACCAATTTCTTGTTTCTATTCACACTTTGCTTGAGCACTCTTTTTGGCATTGCTGCAAATGCTAGACCTGCTGGACCGGCAGCGTTGTCACCGCTGTGCCAGCTACTCCAGTTCTGAGCCAGGAAAGCAGAAATGCAGCCCAGGCTTCAGTGTTTCCACCCGCTGCACAGGTGACGCTGCATCCTCTGTGGATGAAGCTCCTGCCAAAGAACAGTGAGGGCGGAAAATTGTGCCAAGGATGTAGGTGCAAATGAAAGGAAAAGCAGACCTAGTCTGTCTTGCAGAGGGCTGGTGGAGCGTAGAGTCTTGTTTTTCTTCTCCATGTTTGTTGAATTACTTTCAGTAGGTATACGGCTACGAGAGCTGCTGAGCTTTCAGCAAAGTCTTGAGTCCACAACAGCCACAGATCCTGAGGAGGGATAACCATCCTCACCAGGTGAATGGTGGGGCATTGTCTGGATGCAGGTGAGAGAAGGTCTGGAGGCATCCACAGCCAAGTAACTGTGTCCCAAGGGACAATCTGACTGGTCCACCCAGCAAGGACAGGGACCCTCTGTGTCCTAGTACCACCTAGAGCGGGCCATTTTTATTAAACTAAGTTTACTTCAAGCTGTAACTGGGACTACCCTCCCACTGAAAGGAGCAAGCAGGGTGTTACGTGAGTGGTAAGCACGAAATAATGTGTGGAAAACAGATGCAGCTCGCAGTTTAATCCAGCCATTTCAGCGTCTAACACATCCTCCCCGTACCAACCAACCCATAGCCATGTTACAACTACAACCCTGCTGGCACTGTCTGCAACTTACTGTTACCTTAGTGCAAAACAGTGCAGGTACCCCTGAGAAAGACGCTTTACCTAAAGGGTAGTAACAAAAAAGGACACCCAGGCAGCAAGAGCCCTTTAGAAGAAACCTGGACAGGGCTGAGAAACTGCAAGGCAGAGCTTTTATCCTGGTAATTTTGCTGGACTGCTCCACAGGGAACTGTACAGAGTGCCAGAGAGTCTTAAAGAGCAGACCTGGTTCCACAGATCTGCACATCTATAGATACTTTGCCTGAATCAAAGTCTCCATTCAGAACCCTGTTAAGCTTTGGGGAAGTCTAGATCCGGTTTTAGGCAGGTTAGCACCGTTCCTTATTAGAGCTGGGAAGACTAGATGTAAATCTCTGTCCAAAATAGTAATCCTCTTACACTTCATTACTAGCACCACAAGCTTCTGTGAAGTGGTCTCTATCAGAGCCATAATAACACTGGGTTGTGACTAAGCTCTCTATCCCAAGCTCAGTCACAGCAAACCCACTAACCTATTAAATTTGTGTTTACTTTTGATGTATTGGTACTCACTAAGCCTTTCCACACAGTTGCAGCCAGGCACCGGGACTGAAGTCACAGCTGGCAGCTAGGAGGGTAGGAAAAGCAGATTCTAGCATCACACCCTTGCTACATCTGACTATGCAAGCACTTTGTTTCAGGATGTGCTGCCTGAGCAAGCTGCAGAAGATGGTTTGAACTAATCTGCTTTTTTGCCTATAGCACCTTTACCTCTACCTTTATAGTACCTACCTAAGAGCTGGTAACTGACTACAAGGGCAGTTCTGCTCCATCTCAGGGCAAACTCAAACAGGCGAATTTATGGTTTTTCTCCTCACACGGAACAAAAGTGCTCATGCTGGCAATTACTGAATTGCAGCTAGCATCCATGATGATGAGCAACTAAGGATAATTTCTGACGTTTCCTCTCACTTCCAAGTGTCTGACCCTGGCCTTGCTCATATCCACACAGCAAGAACTGGGGATTCAGTCTGAGATGCTGAGTGTTTCTTCTGGTGTCCTGTTGAATTTGCACTTAAACTCCAAGGGGAGTTCAACTAAACTAGACTAGTAAGACTAGACTCTTCACCTTTTGGGTGTCCAGGGCATTAAACCTCAAGAATGGCTCTATGGGCTCTCATGCTGGAACTATGGAGGCTGCTCAAAGTTTCCCCCCCAAAATGGCTGCACTCTTCAAAAGAACTGAAGTTTGTGCTCAGCTTTGGCGACAGGGAGGGATGTTCCACTTTTTGACAATAACCTGGGAGATGAAGGACAAGAATATAAAGGTTTGGTGCTTCATCCCTAGGAAGATGAATACATGTTTATTGGGAGATCAGCCTTTACTAGTCACCTCTGACTGTGCATATCTTAAGACTGTTACTGCACAGAAGTCGTGGTTGATATTTTTACTGGTTATCTATTTTCCACCTGAGTATTCTCTCCCCACTCTTATGCAAGTTTTCATTTCCAACAAGCAAACTGGGGCATTGGTCAACTAGTAGTTGTGTACATCATTTCTGTAAATAAACAGAGGTTTGGAACTTGCTTATATTCCTTTCAAACTGATAGTAGAGAACAAAAGTGTACAAACCAAGAGCAAATGCTTCATTTTTTTTTCACTCTAAATTGGAAACAAATTATTCTGAAATTATTCTTCAGCTACCAATGCCACCAAGTTCTTGTGCTATCGCACCCTGCGCTCTAAACAGCCTCTACATAATAAATGCACCATTAACTTGTCACAGGAAGACATGGCTATTTACTGTCACACTTCTGAGTGAGCACTGTTACATCCTAATTGCTCCTGCAAGCAAGTAACATCATCCAGGAAAAAAAAACAGTGATGCATTTGGCACTGTAAGGGTGGCTAAGCTGCTTCTCCTCAGCTCCAACAGCACCACACGCAGGTCTGTGCCTGCAGACTGGCTCCCAGTCAGAACTCAGCAACTATTCTTAGAACCAGCACTGGCTTTTTTGAGTATTTTTGTTGTTAGAGAGCCATCTTGTGGTGCATCTTATTAATAATAAATAAAACAAAAGTCTATTACAGTTCAGAAATTGTGGTCCACAAAGACTCCAGTGGCTTTGCATCTTCCACATATCTGTCCTTCTTAAAGGGCCTTTTGAAATGGAAATAACCTAATCTCAAATTGCATTTCTGAGTCACAGTAATATTTGTTAAGGACTGGGGAGGAGGACACATTTCTCTTTGCTTTTTTAAAAAACTGAATTGAAAGGGCTTGGAGGGCAAAGAAATAGCTACAATTTATAGCACAGATTTATCCCTTCCTTAACAACTAACGTATTGATCAAGGCAGAAAGCAGATGGTCTAGCTTTATTAATGTGATAAGTATAGTTCTTTGCAGTCAGAAGACTTATTAAATATTCTGGAAACCATTTAAATTCAAATAATACCCATTGCCACTGGAGCTATAAGAAAAATTGATCTTTAAAAATAGCAAAAGCACAAGTTGAAATGTCATTTGGGATTGCTGCCGATCATAGGAGTTTCCAGTAGTTGGAATATTTTATACTGGCTTTAAAATTCCTGTTTTTCAAATCTGTGGTTCACTGAAAGGGTTAGAACCACCTGACATAGAGTCAATAAAACATTTCAGAAAGTGCTTTGAATTTTGGCAGATTTTCCCTCCCATAAGATGTAAATCCACACTGGGGCTAAATAACTAAATAATGCAGCATGCAAAATATTCTCAGCCTCTGAAGAACTAGTGTTTAGAGGAAAAACAAAAAGTAAGTCTTTCTATAAACTAAAATGAATCTACACATTGAAAGTTTTCTCTTGGCAGCTTTGTACAAGATAAGACACTAAAATTTTTTTCTGTATGCATATAACTGTTTTCTTGTCCTATAATTATCTCTCGTCCTTTCATCGAAAGGAAAAAAAGCACTATGTAGCCAGAGATCATTACTGATCCACCCTCTGCCATCAGTTAAGTCAGTAAAAATGAATATGTAATTAGAGGTCCTTAGACTAGTACACAGTAATTAACATCTTTTCTTTAAAAATCAGATTTAGATTTAAAAAGCATAATGTTGTGCAAGTGGCTCTGCAGGACTTCTTTTGTTAATCTTTGCTCATCTTATCTGAGATTTCTTCTAGGTGGACTGTAGGCTTTCATAAAAAGAAAGTCATAAGACGAAGGTCATTTAAGAATCAAATGAGGAAGGGAAAGCATAAAGAAGTACAGCCAAGGGGGAACTCTGAAAAGTAGCTCTGGGATAGATTGGACAGAAAGGGAGAGATCTGATTCTCAAAATACTGAATAATTTTAGCTCAGGCTTCTTCTAACCAAGTAATGAACAGTCCACTCTGATTGGAGCTAGGAAGATGGGGTACCATTAGAAAGGCACTCTCTTTCAAACTCTGTAAAATGTAGAAGGCATAGATCGCCACAGACCCTGTTAGCGCTTTTCCTACTGAAAGAAGCACTCAAAAACCACTGAAGGTAAACAGAAAAGGAAAAAAAAAGGCTTTATAGGGAGGATCTAGAGGTCAAGGAAGATCATGAAAGGTGAAGGCACTAGTTTGCTGCTTAAGGAACGAAGTCCAACAGAACTGCCTTGCCTGCAGGCTAATGAGTAGGAGAGGAAACAGGCTCCTGTATAGAAAAAGTAGATCTGGTGCAAAGACAGCAGTCCTTTAAAATGGATATTTGTATTTCTCGTTCTGAATAACCCAAGAATATGATCATTCATATTTGAGCAATCTGTATGTCCTTGTTTCAGAGGATTATTTGGACAAAGGGGTTCTATATCAAGTATACATAAAATTACCTTTCTAGTGCGTAAAATTACAAAGCTAAGCCCTTTCATTTGGAAAGCATAAATTCTGAAAGGCTGCGATGCCTTGTATTTGTGCTTAGGAACATTGTAGGTCATTCCACCAGTGTATGAAGTACTGGAGGGGAGAGAGAATCCCTTTGTTGCAGGCTCCGTGCAAGTCAGCAATAGAGGGATGATCAGCTTGTTAATCAAAGTGAGAGGGCCTACTCTATTAACCATATAAAATCTCCGTCTTTTGGTGAAATGGATCCTACTTTAATTTGTTCAATTGTCAAACTGGTCCTTTCTAAGTGAAACTCAAAATACTTGAGGCATATGAAAGTATACATAACGCAGATGATATCTTAATGGTAATGGTATACATAGTTTCTTCTTCACAGGTTGGTAGTGAGACGCTTGGCTCTTCACTCCCATAAATAAGTGCTTGCTCCATTGCGAAGAGTTGGTAGTAACCAACATAGCTATGCACACAGGCTGCTGGATTATTTTTACCTCCTAGATAGCCTTCGTTTCACATTACACAAGTAGTATTGTGGGGAGATGAAGTTTTCTCATGAACAAATTTGTCTTTGGAGATAAAGGAAGGAATTGTGGAACTGGGAGAAGAATTAGTTGTTTTCCAGAAATAACACGGTATGGGGCTCAGCATCGAATGTTACTTTATGCTTTGCTGAAGCAAGTTACCTCCATGGTCATCAACGCTCCTAGTTTCACAGGAAGGGTTGTGCCTGAGGGCAGAAGGTAGACAGGTGGCACTGACCTTCAGCCAGCAGCATGGCCTCTGCAGACTGCAGCAGATGGTGTAGGCAATACCGCAGGATATCACAAGTGATACAGGTGCCATTTCTTTCCCTCACAGCCCAAAGATCAAAATTCAGGTCCTCAGTCACTCAGCTGCACTGCATGCCTAATTCGGGTGCGCAGTCTTAGCCATGGCCAGGGGCTGGGTTTGGCCCACTGACAGACTGCTATTTTTTCCATGTGCAAATATTGATACCCAGCGATTAAATTTCTCTCTGATAAAATTTAATACAACTGAAGTCTTGAATTTCTTAAGTCTTGCAACACAAGGTTGTTTCCTAATCATGAAGTGATGTTGACTGACAGTGTAAGTTTACAATTTTATTTTTAACAGAACTAACTATTTGTATGCAATCTAAACAAATAAATAGACGGCTGAGCAATTCCCTTCACTCTTTCTAGAACAATGCTGGAAAAGCCTCACTAGAATATCCTGAGATTTCCAAGAGTCACTTGAAAATTACTGTTATTTAATGTCATTTCAAAAAGATCTTATCACAATATGAATTACTGATAAAATATATTTAATTTTAGAAGATACTAGCAGATACCCTTCTTTCTCACCCACAGTAAATATTCTGGTTCATCCACAAAATTAGATGTTCATTACAGTGACCTTACAATTACTGTCATAAAGAAGACAGCTTCACTACATATACAGGTGTAAAGCGTGTAACATGGGCAACAGTGTGATCATACATAAGCCTGGCACTTACATGCTAATATCCGAACAGTGTCGTTCAGTAAGGAGGTCCTTTGGTCAAGCTAGCCTTGTGTAACTGAAAATAACAAATTAACTGAGAGGTTTTCAGGAATTTGGACTTTCAAGCTTTGACACCACACTGACAGTCACTGTTCCCTGGGGTAGGCTCTGCCACCAGTACTTCTTCAGTATCCTAGATACGATTTAAATCTTTTTTTTTTTTCCTGGCTAATCCCCTGAGAGGGAACTGATGCAAACAACTTGAGTCCTCCCTAGGTCATACTCATCTTTAGTGCTAGGAAACAAAATGTGCATTACAATGAAACAGTGGCATGGAATACACAGTCTGAACTCTCCCCACTTCTACTACATAGCAGTTTTCTTTTATCCACGTTTGTATAAATGTCATTCAGCTCTGCCAATATGAATAGTTGATGCCAAGTCTTGCTCTGCAAATGGAGAGAACATCTGCAGCAACGAACACTGTGTCTGTATGGTCCCAGACCTGGCTACGGCTGTGAAAGGCAAGGTTTAGGAAACATTGACAGCAATGTGTTGCCTGTTCCACGCAACGGCTCGCAGCCTGCACTTATTATCCAGTGCTTAAAGTGAAAGCACAGCCAAAGCAGTGATGGACGGATTCTCGCCATACTGAAATCAGAGGTGAAAAAAACAACCTCCCACTAGCTTAAGTGGAGCTGGGATTTCTAGCTGATAAATCTCACATGGAGTGTGTTTTGATTCAGGCTACATTTTCTAGATTAAAACATTCAGAGATATATAATTTCCAGACTGTTATTAAAGAGCGGGGAAACTGAGAGTTGAACACGCAGCTTTTTCTGGACTCTAAATTTTGCTTCAGAATCTTACCCATACTCACCGTTATCCCACTCCCTCAGGCATTCTGTAACATGATTACATATGCCCTTAGGGCAATCTTTACATGCAGCATTAATAGACAGGTTTTTGCAGAGGTGGTTAATCTCTTTACTTAGGCTACTAATAACTGTATTTACTGTTTACTCAAGCACTAAAATATGTATTTTTTCCCAGACCTTGAAAACAATATGGGTACAGCTTCATCCTTAGGGTCACTCTACCGGCATGTCCTGATAAACTAAACTAAACTAACACTAAACTAAATATTTACATAAACTTGTGGTAATGGTCAGTCTGCCTTTCTACATTAGTTTCACATCCTGATATTCTTGCTGCTGAAGAAAATGCTCTCTTTGAGTTAAAGACAGAATGAAATGTCATCTCTTCTTCACTAGGAAAGAAGACAGTGGTGATAACACTGCTTTCTTCATACTATGTTTTATTTCAATAAGAGTTTAATTTATCATAACACGCTAATATTGACACACTATCCATGCCTTTTATTTCTATTTTTTGTCTCTTATTCGTTCTCAACCTAGTCCATCTTTTAGAAGATAAGAATACAGGTTTGTTAAGCACAGCAGAATCACAAAGGTTTCTGAGCCATTTCATGCAGCCTTGAGTTTCATCTTGTTTGTCACATGTTGTGATTGCCATTGGAATTTCATTCTTAAGTATAATTACAACTATTATGGATAGGCTTGTTTAAAGTTAGAGATTTGTGTTACTTCTTTCTATTATAACCATTGCAGAAAAACTTTCTTCTTCTATTCCTGCCTGTCTTTAATCTGAAGTTGCATATACAGAATTAGCAGGTAATGAAATATATTAGAAAGGATTGAGTATTAACTCTAAGAGCCCAGCTCTTCATTTGCTATTTAAAAAACAAAGGATGTCACATTTAAGATGCTAATGAGCATCAGAGCTAAAGTGAGATTAGAAACTTTTAAGTGAACCTTAATTACATTTTTCAATTTTCAGTAATCACCCAACAGTAAATCCCTTCTATGCCAGTCAGGCCAGGATATGAAAAGGGGGGGGGGGGTGTTTTTCTTTCTTAAAACATTGGAAGGGCTTTTTGCAGGATTTTCTTGATACCTTTTTATTCATCATGTCAGTAATTGAGGGTTCAAGATTAAGTGGTAGAACAAATGCTTTCCCTAATTACAGAACATAAGCCCTCGACCATATTTTTAGCTTTATTCCGAGTTTTTCCACAGACTACATTAGAAAGCAAATTCAGTTTGATACTACGAAAAATTCACATACTCTCCTCTCACTATGAGACTGAGTAGCTTTTATATACTACAGTGACCAGGCAGCACCTAGTGGTCATGCATAAGAACTAGCAGCAAGTGTTAGTTTTCATCTACATGTATATGTGTGTGTGTGTGTGTGTGTGTGTGTGTGTGTGTGTGTGTGAGAGAGAGAAAGAAATCATTCAATTTCTGACTTTATCTGACTTCTAGATCTTCATCAGAATGGAATTTATTCTTCCTCATTTCTCAGATGTAGGTAAGAAAGAAAACAAAATCCTGAGTTTTTAAAAGCTTTTGTTTACAATGCAGCCAGCCCATATAATGACTTCAGATTTTCCAAAAATTCTATTACTTTTATTGTGAGTAAAGTATTGGAATGCCTTCATCTAATTTTGACCCTTCAATTTTAAATTCAAAGTCTCCAAGTTAATCGTAATAATTAGTAATGTCGATTATCAAATATCAGAGCTCATTTCTATTGAAATGAATCAAGAATTTGAAAGCTATCCAACAAATGGCTCTCCAGAATTGCTTGGAAAATCCCAAGCTATGAAAAACATAGAATTAAAAGAAAAGGAGCTACCTTTGTGAACTACGCTTATTATAACAATGTGAGTTCTGTAAGACTGCATACCTTGAAAGGTATGTTTCATGTTTTATCATATTACAGTAGTCAGAAATTATATGATAATTAGCTTTAATTTTCTTCCAAGAATTTGCCTGTAAATCCATTTATGTGCAGATTTTTTTTTGATCTGTGATTGCTAAGTTTCTCACTTCAATAGCAAATATATTATTTTTATTTGAAGCATTTCTAGAAATAGCACTGAGGTAAATATACTTGCATCAACAAAGCCACTCTTCACATTTTTGAGTGCCCTTCTGAAGTTTATTGCAAGCTGAGATCCAGAAAAAAACAAAGTATACACCAGTATAAATCCATTCTAGTTCCATAGATGTTAATGACTACAATCTCTGTTTCGGCTTTGGCTAACCTGAAAGACCATTATGTGGGTGGACCAACAGAAGAAGAGGGAAAATTGCATTGGTATAGAGGCTGCGGCTGTCATTCAAGCCACTTACTGCTCATGGATGGACTTCTCTGTCCTCCCTCACTGTGTCCCACTGTTCATCTGGAACAAGCCAGCTTACATGTTTGCATGGATGCAGTTTCGCTTCATATTTCTTAGACATGTGCTGAAGTTTTCAAAACTGCCAATTTTTTTTACAATGAGTCACTTGCTACTTTTAAAACATATACATAATTGGAAAGCTGAATATAAAGCTTGACTATAGAATTAAGGACAGATCTGAAGCCACTCTATAACTATGAACCCATTCCACTGAAGCCAATGAAGAGAAAGATGCTGCTCCTTTACGAAAATGCTTCTTTGTGAACGGGAGAATTCAGCAAAAATTAGTCTAAGGGATCTTTGCATTGGGATGAGGAGCTGCTTGCCTCCACAAAACAAAACTGAGTTCCTGTGGCAAATCCATGGGCATAGCTAAAGGGCACTGGGCGTTCTACATCTGCATTTATGTGAGAAATAGGGACTAAGTGAGTGCCTGCCTTCCCTACCCCTTGTCTAAATTGTGTCTTATTACTACTTATTTCCTTCCAGCTTCCCTACTTACTTCCTTCCTGCTCTCCCAAGCGTCCCTGCATGTGTAGAAATCCATCTTCCAGGAAGATGTGGAAAGCAACTGTGTTGTCTGTTCACTCCCGCATAAAGAGAGGTATGAACTACGTGTGTACAGACTGTTCTGCATGCGTGGGGCATGCTCTGTTAAAGGAAAACTTAACAGAAATGACTGTGATCAGAATGCAGCCCACTAACTCTCACACTAATGGTACTAGTAGAAAGTCCCTCCCCCCGCCACAATCCTTTGTACCAATTTTAAGGTACAATCAAGAGGCCATCTCATACTACTGATTTTTAACCAAACTCCCCACTGAAATCAATGAGGAAACCTGCTTAAAATCAATAGTACGATAAAGAATCTGCAGAGCTGTTTACAGCAGGAAATTTTCTAATTTTTGTTTGTTTTCTTCTTTGATTTAATCATATTCAGTCCGACACGTTGAAATTGGATGATAAATATCCCATGCATGTTTGGAATTTGTCAAAAATGAAAACAACATGGACACGATGCTAATACTGAATTTTTAGGGAAAAAAGATATTAAGACACAAAAATATGGCTTGATATCACTCAAAACTGCTCTCCTTTCAAATCTGAGAATGGGTTCTGATGGTCTTCTTTCAATTCACTTATACAGTAAGTAAAATATTCAAGTCTGGAAAAATGAGCATAATAAAAGGGGCGGTTATTTGTCAGAATAAAAAACACTTACAAAGCATATCTCACATTTACAAGGGAATCATATTTGATGACCATGAAAGAAAAATATTCAGACTTGATGAAGCTTCTGAAGGTAGGAAAAAAGAGGCAACTGTTTATTTCCAGAAAAAAAAAGTTGCTTAAAGACCTAGAGTGTTGATATCTTTTCACAAACTTACAGAGTAGAAACAGAAGCAACGAAGTTAACAAAACCTGAGATTAAAGCTTGCAGTATAGAACTCACAGAGTCTATTTACATTTGATAAAAGATTGTCTATTAAGCACTCAAATTTTGTTTCAACAGAGCACTTAGCACAAATAAGTTAGGTGTCACAGCGCTTACTCCTGGTCAGATACACTATAGAGCTAGAGGCCAGCGTGCTTTCCTGGAGGTAGGTATTCAAAGTACTTTTTAGAATGAACAAAGCATGGCTTGACAGGGTTGGTGCTTGTATCTGCATTATCTACAATAAGTTAGTGATAAAGACATTGATAACATAGCAGTAAACAAAAAAAAGTAAATTCACCTCTTTGGTAAACATATATAGTATTTGTATTCTCTACACACATCACGAATCTCCACATTGATCAGATTAGGAATAAATTCCACTTACATATCACCACTGTGTATCGTTCACTGAGGAAGTTGGACATCAGGTTTCAGCACCATTCTCAACCTCCAGGGATTCAAACGCACATCATCCACTTCCAAAGATAGTGCTCCCTGTAGAGCAGGTGCAACCCAGGGCTCCAGTGATTAAGACCCGGGAGGGAAACTCAGAATTTTATTATGGATCTTGAAGAAGCTGTCTAAAGCTTTGAACTCTGCAGGGAAGACACGTTAGCTCTATCCACATATTTACCTTTTCTTGTTGAATAGCTCAAGATTACTATTTCTCAGATTTCCTTTCTGAAGGTGCTATAACGTTTCCCATGCACTATAATGGGGACGTTTAAATCTTTTTAGACTCTAAACTGTTGGCATGCAAATATAAGTTTGCAGTTCTAACTTGTATTCAGTCTGGCTGCAATAGTCTTAAAAATATTTCTGCCACCCCTTCCAAACCAGCAAGTTCCAATCATTTTATGAAGGAAATCCTCAAGATTTTACACCTAAAATAATCTTCTTAATTTTTTCCATCCAAAATTACACACACCACAAATATCAAGGTCTCAGTTTCCCATCTACAAAATGGGTAAATGGTGCTGTAGAGGGATATTGAAAAGATAAATGAATAATAGTGACACAGTTCAGACATAGTCTAAGTATCACAGAAAACGTTACAAAAAGATTGAATAAAGAGACTTTTAAATTAACTGTGTTGCTGTATTCAGCTGAGCAGCAAGAGATGAGCTCTCCATCAATCTTCCATCAATATCCTTTAAGCTTAGAAAGACTGCTTTTTACAGCCACTTAGGCTGATCTAACCAATAAATCCTGTCCCCTCCCCCAGCCTGTTGCCCACCCCCTCACCCCCCAAAAAGTATACTTCTTAATGTCTTTTCTTTTAAATATTTCTTCTGAAAAAAGTCAACCTGGATCAAACCTGGAAGAGTAAAAGACATACAGCAAGGCAGAATAAACTGCATGAAAAAATAGCTTAGACCTAGGGGATAACAGGTAACAGGAGAAAAGCTGTAAAGTGGAAACTAACTGTACAGATACAAGATGACAGCTTCAAACAGCTCACCAAATTGGAGCAAGTCTCATTTCATATTTATAAACATGAACACACACACTACCTGTACTAAGCAGGTCTTGGACTTAGAAGGGGGATGGGAATACTGAGATAAGATTAAGAATGGTATAGAGTTTGAAAATGTATTAAAACAACGTTTTTTCCATACATCGGCCTATTAAGAAAAGCAGGGGCTTGGGGGCTCCTTTTGCGCTCATTTCTTTACATTCTAAGAGGTCAGAAGCTCTTTTTCTGTTTCAACCATGCTGCTGTACCAATCTTGTGAGCTTTGCCCCCAAGCTTTTTTCTGCTGGCCAGTATCAATTGGATTTGTAATGAAAACAATGCAACTCAGATTGTACTACCTACTAACATATTGATTTTTTTCACCAAACAATTATGAGGAAATCAAAATCCCATATCTTTCTAGGCCTTTATTTGGTTTCAAGCTAGTTTTTGATTGTTTTCTTTTCCATGTTGATATTTCATTTGTGTACATAAAATGATTTGAAGTGTAGGCCTGGGTATGCATAAAAGTTGTACAGCTTTAACAAAAACTTTTATTTGTGTAGTAACATCACTATATCCTTCCGGTGTAGATGTGATTTCTACTGATACACATATGCTTAATACATCATACATACATGTTCCCATTTAGGGAAGGTATATGAACTATACCAATACACCCTTTATGCTGGTAAAACACTAGGAATGGTATCAGTATAACTATTTTGGTTTAAAAAAAAATCATACCCTCAGTCAAATCAATCCACATTATAACTGCGTGCAGATCAGATCCCAGCCCTTTTTCACCCTGAAATCAAATACATTTTGAAAACTTATAAAAGCTAGAGAAACTTGTCCGAGATGAACTGAGCTAATTAGCGTTCTATTTAACCCTTATTCAGATTAATTCACGTATCCCATGGATCATACTTTACAATTGCTAAATGTCACCTCTTTCCAGCTCAGCCAAAGAATGCACTTTCCATGTTTTTGATAATGACTTTTCCTCTAATAAGCACTCTCTGGTGTGGGTAGGAGAGGAAGAGATCTAGACGAAGATTTCAACTCCCTCCCAACTCTCACAGCCGGAGAGATTAAAAGGCCGATCAGGTCACCCAGAAATGGCAACCAACACCAGCAAACTAATATTCTGGCATATCTGATTCCTCAGAAAAGGAATAATGTTACACTCAGAGCAATGAATGACGTTGTTTGATATAAAACAGCAGAATTCAGAAGACTATTTCGAAAGTCTATGCAAAAAAAAGTTTTCTATCAGCAGCTACTGATAGTATTGTCTGGTTTTTAAAGAAAATCCAAGCCCAGCTACTGAAAAAAACAAAAGTTGTTATGAAAGTACTTGCTCTGTTTTGTATTAAAATGGTTGAAGGAAGGACAAACTATTTTCTGCAGCGCTGACTGTCCAGATGCTTCTTATTTTGCCTGAGGTTTGGCGTTTGATCTTGACAAAAGAGGACTTATTGCTATACTCAGTAGCTGAATATGCACGTCAGTTCCAGAAAGGTGAAAGCAGGTGCTCAAGGAAAAGTTTTTATGTTATAAACCAGCTAACGTGAAAAATCTGTATGTTTGCTGAGATTGCCCCTCCAAATAGCCAGAGAGGAATCAACAGTACTACTAAACACGATAGATTGGAGGCACAAAGGTATTCACTTAATGTACGCTGTAACTGTTCATTAAAATCAGAAAAAAGCTTTCTTGCTAAACAGAACTGCTCAAAAAATAAAAAACGCTCAAGGCTACCCAACTGAAACAAGATATTCACAGTTCAGTTCATTTCATGAGGAACTGAACATGAATATTGATGTTGCTGAATGTCTTGTGCAGCTACAGAAAGAGCGGTCAACCTAGATTTGTTTGAATTATTTCTGAATATGAGTTAGTAGGACATAACGTAATATGTGGGACAGGGGGGTTTCTAATGACTGATGGTGAATGAGGGGAAAGAGACTATGCAATACCTCGCAGTGTGTGCAAATTAAGAAGAGCTGAGCGTTCAGTTACAGATGGGTTTTAGCAAGCGTCTGATTTTGGAGAACGTTGCGACTCTGGGGGAAGGACCTGGGGGGGGAAAAAAAAGAATGAAAAAGTTATCTTGTTAGGTAGTTGCTAGATTAACTCACAGTGATGGATTGCTCCTTCACATAGCTACTCACAGCATTACAGATAATCACGAAAATGAGGGTGGGGCAAGAGGAACGCACAAGAAGTGTTGGGAATGATCTGTTAAATATTTTAATTTTTTTAAGGTTTAAAGCACTCTACTTGCTTGCAGAACTGCAAATTATTTTGGTGATGAAAAGTGGTGAAAAATAAGAAAAAAGTTAAGCTAGTTCTCTTACTTTTTTTTGTTCTTGATAGCTTAGCCTTACTGTCAAACCGTCTGCCGTTTCTTCAAGAAAACTAGCTCTTGAGTACAGCAATCCTGTAAGGCAAAGGTTCCCTAAGGGTAAAGCTCACTTTCACATTTCCTTCTTAATTTTTCTGTAGTTTACAAATGCAGTCTAGAAAACAGGACGAAATTGTCCCACATATCTCCTAGTTTTGGATGCTTCTACTTCTGCTCAGAGGAACTGTTTACGTCTCTGTAGATCTCAGTTAAAACTGTGAATTCTTCATACCTCCAAAATCAGGACTGTATCTTACATGGGGATTTAAAGTCACTGGCCATGTTTGAAAAATCTATAAACTCTAGGTCTAGAATACTTAGAGAGGTAGAAATTTCCTCAGAAACTACACTCACACTGATCATTTGCATTCACATGGTATTACTTCCTCTAATCCCATTCGGTGCTTTCCCTGGGATTTGCATACTGAGCAAATAAACCAGCGTAGGTTCTTGTTACAAACAGGTTCGAGCCCTGGAGGAAGCACGCCATCCCCATGTACAGATAATAGGTTTAGACTTGGTAACGCAATCCGTGCTCAGCCGACAACAGGAACACGCATGCTCTGACACACAGGCAGGGCGTCCATCCAGCCTGATGTGCTGTTTTCCCACCTCAGCATTACGCGTTCGGCCTGGGTCACCCCACGCTAGGCCACACCGTCCTGGCAGCGACAACTGCCGCCAGGCAAAGCCCGACTGAGCAGGCTGAGGGAGCAGCACCGGGCTGGCTGCCGACCGTAAATAACACCAGCTTAATGTGAGCGGAACAACACGGCCTCAGCCAGCCCG